AACAGAAGAATCTCTCTCCGCTCCATGACTCGTAGTTGATATCTTGTTTAATGTTCTCTCATGCAAGCGCAGATGAACAAAATGTTTCAATGTCAACTCTGCACCAGTCTCTCAGTTCCACGCTAGCCCGCTCTTCCAATCCTCCCCACCAACGAGCTTTGTTTGTCTAATTTTTAAGGAGAAGAGAAATTAATCTCCAATTTTAGTTCTTACCAGTTTCGAGCCTCTATTAAAAAGGCCACCGTGATTTACAGAACGGCCATTAAAACTATATATAAACTATATATATATATATATACTCTAAAATAATTAAATGCCTTTTAGAGGGTATAAAAGAAGTTTTTCACGATGTACAAGGTGGTAGCAAGCAAGCAAGAAGCGTTCGATAAATAGCCCCATTGCGTGACATTCTCGGAAAAACAGGAAGGCACCAACAGTCGAGGTCGCATGATTTTTCAACCAATCAGCTAACTTGTGAATCAGCTTATAGTGGTTTAGCATTTCAAGCTTTTTCTCATTTCAGCTGGAGTAATTGTATTTGTTGTGGTCATTCTTAGGAAGGTGGTATTGTCTCGGTTACTCAGTTCTTTCTGATGAGATCAATGAACGTCTTAAAAGTTGCAAAAAATCCAAAGAACTTTATCGCGAATTACTTTTCCAGAAGATAGGGGGGTTTATAAATGGAGAGAGTCTTCAGTTTGAGAAGGATAATATTCGGGACGGTTTTAAACGAGAACTTCCAGTTCCACAAGGTATAGAAGCAGAAACCTATCCACCTGGTGATCATGACTATGGCATCGTGGTTCTTGTGAAAGATGATCAATGGCGGGGCTCGCCATTTTTAGACCAAATTCCGTAGAAAAATGTGTATTAAACTTGTTAAATGAACCACAACATTTGGTTCAAATGAAAATTACGAAACTTCTCAAAATTCCAAATAAAGGAGTAACAAATTTACACGAACGAAAGCTCAAAAACAACAAACTAAAACTCCGTGAAAAAAACTGAAGTACGCGAAAAATGTCCACGTCAGTTTTCCAACGTCAAGGTCAGAGTTCTTTGACATGATTGGCTAATTTGTGAAATCACGCGCACAGCGCGTGAATACAAAAAGATTACAAAGGGTGGAAAAGAAGCGAAAAATTGCTACATAAAATTTAAAAACGAAAGAGATTTTCTACATTCCTAATCTATAAACAAAGTGTTCAATTTATATCCTGAGTGCAGGGATTGAAAAAAAAAAAAAAAAAACGCCAAATGTCATTAGTAATGTCAAGTTATGATTATTTGTCAAGAAGGAAAATACGTCGACGATCAAACACTTACATGTTGTGTTTTGCCCCGGTTGCTATTGTAAGTTACCTTTAGCGTTAGAGCGCGTCATAAGTTAATGAAATTTTTAAAACTAGATATTATTTTGTGGTAACTCAGGGGGAGGAGGTATGGAATTCAAACTGTGGGGCATGACCATACCCCATACCCCATACCCCATACCCCATACCCCATACCCCATACCCCATACCTCATACCCCATACCCACCCCTCAGAGCATGTACGAGAACCAACAGAATATTTAGTGTGCCTCTTGTAATGTAATAGCGGTAATGTGAGTCAAAATGTTTGGCGGTTTTTGTTTGTAAACAAAATAAATTTTCTCAAGTTTCTCAGGATCATTTTCAGAGAGGTTAATAACTAGCCTAAACTTGAATTTTGCCAGCAAGAAATCTCTTAAACAATTACCCCGTGGCGCCTAACCATTGAAAATCTTTGCAATTGGTAGCTTTGGGTCTTGTTTCGTAATCAAAGTGATCCTATGGTGAACTCGTGGATATGCTGAGAAGAATGGCATTAGAATATACAGCGGATTGTATTAAAAATCTAATGATCCCTTCTTTCCAAGAAAAAGAATGAGCTGTCATTTTCACAAACCCTAATTGACACACCATATTAAACTGTCGGTCCGCCATCTTTTCGAATTTTTAATACGATGTATACCCGTACGAACGCCACGAAATTTGCATATCAAATCCCCACATAGTTCGTCTCTAAGCTTTGCATATCAACGATTAAAAAGGCGAATATGATACGATATTAACTGTGCAAGTTAACAGATTTACAAAAATTACTGAGGCACTAAATTTCCCCGTTGGACTGGCCCTTTTTATTTCTTTCTTTTACGAAATGTTGCCCCAATACATCTCATAACGCAATACTAGCAGACTAAAAGTAACTATAAGCTATATCTCAAGGAATGGTTCTCTTCATGGCAGATCTTCAGTCAAAGCATAAGCATTTCAGTCGTTCAAGTCCTCGCATCCAAGAAATAAGATCTATGAAACAATTTACATAAACGCAATTAGCAGATAGCAAATGATTGCTTGATATTTCGTTAAATTTAAGCGGATGGCTGAATGGATGGAAGAAACTTCTGCTCCTTGTAACCGTGTACAACCTAACATCGGTATGCATATTCTCCGTGCTGTTCTCTTTACATTTCCAAAAGTGCTGACATGGAGAATTTATTTAGCAATCAAGAGCCTCATTAGTTGGCGATCATTTCCTTTACAGTTTACCGTCACTCAGGGGTGATATTGTGAGGAAAAATAAGATGTTAGTCACTCCTAGGATTCAAAGGGTTAAAAGCCACGCTCATGTGTGATAATCAAAATCACTTACTATTCGCCGAAGCCATGGTAACAGCAGATGCGTCCCTGACAGTCTGGCATGCCGTACATTTTATCTTCGCCCGGGTCACAAACATATTTGCAGGTTCCAGACACGCCGTATCCCAGGTAGCAACCCATGATTGGTTCGGCTGTCGAGATGTTAATTGTTTATAATGTTATGACAACTGATCAGCGCAGTCCATGGATTAGTCCTTTATCGTTTCATTGCTAAAGCGCTTTCAGTTGTGTGTCAAAATGAATCAAACAAAATGAATCAAAAAAGGTTATAGAACAACGTAAATACCGTATAACCCTGCTAACTTAAACCCGGTGAACTTGAAACCTCTGCTATCTCAAACAACATCCGATTTCCCTCGGAATTGAGCCCATTTTTCGAGTCATTTATTATCAAGTAACTCGAACTCGGTTGACTCGAACCCCCCTTTTCCCTCCCCCCTCCCCCCGGCGCTAACTCGAATAACAACCGGTTTCCCTTAGATTTGACCCCATTTTCCACTCACTTACCATCAAGAAACTGGAACTCGATCTCCGTTAACTCGAACTAATCTTACTTTCCCTTGGTTCACAATTACCCCGATAACTCGACCTTTAAGTAAAAACGCCAGTCCATAGACGTCGAAGCGTCCGAACTGATGACATGCCGCAATCTGTTATCGTGTTAAAAGCTCGTATAAAACAAAATCGATGTACGAAAATGACTGTTGATTTTGTAAGAATGGTAAAAACATGATTCCATATTAAGTATTACCAGGGTAATTGAAATTCAACACCAATCCCAATAGCTGGGACCCACCCACCTCACCCCCTCCTTTCGAACCAGTTTTCGTTTCCCTTAGCCGGTTTGAATTGGCGGGGTTCTACTGTATCCCAAGGAACCAATGAGAACTCAGCTAAACGCACGTCAAATAAATAAATTACTCAGGAAGAAAGGATCCATTTTGATTTTTTTTTCTGATGGGCCAAATCAGAGTTCCAAACAAACCAGCCAGCGTTGGGATATAAACAAGTAAATAATAAGTTGTGAATATTTTCTATTGAATAAAAAGAAATCGGATCGAAATATAAGGAAGAACATCAGCGATAGAATTCGAGCCAATTTTTGTCTTTGCAATCAGGTGTTTTTTAAGACTCCGATAGAGGGTGTCGAGAGTCTGCTAGACAAACTATAGAACAATGTGGCAAACTAAAACTGATGCAATCCTGGATTAATTTCAACAATCTATTGAGAATTTTTCCTAACAATAAACTCACATGGTTGTGTAAAGCACCACTTGGTGTTAGGCACAATTGAATCCCAGCAACAGGACTTTCCCAGACATTCCTCCTTCCCAATACCGTAGTAACCACATTCCTGTCGCTCAGAAGGAGCAACGGGGCAAAGTCCATCCGGGAGATCTATAATAATTTAACAATGATGTCAAAATAATGCAATACAAAACTTCAGTTGCCCGTAATGAATACGCAGACTGTCAAGCACAGTCTCTCAAGTGATACTTCAGTAACACTTTTAGTTTTTGTATCCTTTATCATTAGAAAATGCTTCCACGAGTTATACGAAAAACTTAAGCTGCAAACTTCTTTTTCTATCACCACTCATTATTTAAGCCAAGCTGTTTAAAAAGTCAATTCTTACATGTGCCAGGTTTGATATAGCACCACGGCTTGTTCGGATCACTAGTATCCCAGCAGCATCCTCGTGCCTCACACGTCTGCTGATCTATTCCCAGCCATCCGCAATCCCAGCGTTCTTTGGGATTCTGACAGCTGGCTGATTCAGTATTGAAAGGAAAAAAGAAAAAAAGTTCAGTTATTAAGAGGTACTTTTCCAGCGGTGTTATATGAATTACACAGGCTGACTTGATCATATACAGCATCCACAGCACTAACTCCGCAAGTAAAATAAAAATACAACAAAACGGGTCTTTCTCCATTGATAGTCTGCTATAAAGCTTAACATTCTTAACATACCATCTGCCATGACGGAGACTGCGCCAAAAAGTAAGGACAGAACAAAGAATCTTCCTTCCATGCTTCAAGACTGCAAACGAAAAAATATACAAAAAGTTTTCTAAATATACAACTCAACGTGAACACTATCACTTCAGAATTTTTGAAACGAGGGTGAATACTGCGGGCACCCAAACAATACTTGCTCTTTCCTGTGATTGTCACGTCTCCTTCAACTGTTAAAAGGCTGACTTACCACTGATCGATAAAAACCTGTCTCTCCTTCTTCGTAGTTTAAGAAGAAAGCTCATCTGATTTTGATTTTCATATACAACGGTATATCACTGGAGCACCATTTATAACAGCCCAAACAGTTGAATAACATTTACTGAATGCAAGTTTCCGACTTTTTTCAGCTGTTATCACCTACCTCAATGCGGCTCAGTATCCAGATCACTTGATAAAAAGACTGCTCGCTAATCTGAGTGCAAGTTAGCTCCTTGAAGACTCGGTGAAGTGCGTCAAGTCGAATTGCTGCTCTTCCTTTTAAATGCAATACATGATAATTTGGAAAGATAATTACTTATGACTAGTTAACCTATCAGCGAGCTCTCAAAACAATTAGAACAACATTCTTTCTGGGAAAAGAGCATGCGCTACCAACACAATGCTCGTCTTAAATAGATTTGCATGGAAATTTCATGCAAGGGAGATTTGCATCAGCACGACATTGTCAAAGTGAAAATTAAAAAATATAGCTCTAATGGAATGTTCGTGTTCATATTGAATTTCACGACAAGCCTGTTTAACTTTATTTCCGTATTTTTAACGATCTGCCGGTAGCAGTGTATTGATATCGTGGGAAAAATAGTGAAGCGAAATTTCGTGTGCAGAAACATCTGTCGCCTTCCCTCAGGCTATGCTCATTTGTTTTCTTCAGCAAATGCAGTAGCGTATTTGTATAATATGATGCAGAATTAAAAGAAAGCCTGCCGAGGAAAAGGATTATATATGTTCTTCCGAACAGAATATCAGTATTTTGACAGTCTTCACTAGAGACCAAACATTCACATGCAGCGATTGTTTTGCCTGGAAACTGCTTTTGGCAGAGAAAATTTTAGGTCTGTGTTTTTTTCTCCCTCAGGGCAAAGAAAATACCTCTTGATAATCATCAAGAAATGCGGAGCCGAGAATGTTATAAAGCAGGTCATTGAAAAAGTTGAATCATGCAACATTTTTAAAAGAAAAGAAAAAAACTGAGCAAAAGTTGACGGCTTTGAGATCAAATCACGCGAAGCGATCACAATTTGATCACAGTCGGAAAACTATCAGAACCATACAATTAATAAGTCCCTTTAAATTTGTTATAGTCAAATGACACGTTTTTTTTAGTTTTGTGTAGATACGTAACCCTAATCTTATAATATCTTTCATTCATATAGACTCCTAAAATGAAACTCAGCGTGACAAAAAAAATGTTCCGTGTAAATATATTGATAATTTTCTATATAATTAAAAGAACTTGGAACAATAGCTAAAACACAAACTGGGGGAAAATTTTTCTGACAGTAATTTTTCCTCAACCGATTAACCAGTCGATTGTTACCGGAACTAACTTCTCAGAAGCTAACGGTTTGGAGAGTATTTGTAACTTTATTTACTCAATCCCCCAGTTGCTGCTGTTAGGGAGATTCCTACCTCTGTAAAAAATTTAGCTCGTTATTAGAGGTTGACAATAAACAAAGAACGCCAATTTAGCGAGAACCCCTAGTGAGTTGTTGTACGCAAGTGTCTACAATTGCGCATTGGTGAAGTGAACGATGCTTTCAGCTTGCGAGAAGGACAATTCAACATTGCTAAGTATTTGATATTTAGGAAAAACAAGCGAAAAAGTGGAAAGGAGCCATCTCAGTTGGCGTCCTAAGTTGAAATTATTCGTGTTTTATCTACTCTAGGTATTAATTTTAACAGTAGCATTTTTCTTCTCGGACAAGTTGATATTTGAAACTGACGCGACAGGTGTTCATCTCTGATTAAATTACGTGATCGTCGTACTTACTTCCCAGAAAGCTAAGTTTGTGCTATATTCCAGCAATCTTTATTGAAGAAACCAACGTCACAATTAAGTGGTTTACAGAAGGGTCCTGATTCTTTTTTCCAAGTAGTTTACAAATGTATTTCAGTACCCATTCAGTTTGATCGTGCTTATATATGTTTGGGTACAAAAAGCTAAACAATGGAAAAAAAGGTTGAATTAACGCCGGCAACATTTGATTACAGTGGCGGTTGAATACAAAAAAGTTTCCATCAGCACCGCAGTATTGTTTTATTTGTGTTAAATGTTATATTACTTATTCTAACGAGCGCTACTAGCTATACGCTGAACAACTGAAACGTCAACATGTTGAAAAATTTAGCTCATACGCATAATTACCAAATATTCCTATAAACCTTGCGTTTTAAAAGCATGTAGAGTTGTCAGAATGTTTTATCAACTTCGAACAATCGAAAATCATACACTAAGAATTGACATTTCTAGCCACGGCTAGTGTTACCACCACTACACATTTTTGTGAGTTTTCACATACAAAAGACAATATACTAAAACACACAGACGGACTTTCGCAGCACACTTTTGCGATTCCATCTCGATGAATTAGACTGTCGATAATTTTTGACTAGGTTATGGTTTACAATGAACAGGAGTGAAATAAGTACAATTTTTAAATTCATCTGATTCATTGAAGTGCTTTCTACTGCTAGCAGCTATGCACTTGTAATAAGACTGCCTCACTTAACCCATGGATCACTGATATGACGAGGACTACTACCTGTGTTATTGCACGAAGGTGGCCGCGCATGCGTAGTAGTTAAGCGCCAAAGGCTGTTTCTAGGGAGTGCGAAAATGAATTCCAAAATGCTTGGAATTAAAAAAAAAACAACAACTCGAGTGTTATAGCTAAAAGATACTGCTCCAGAGGCACTTATAATTAGTGTCATCCATAGCAACATCAATAACTTACTAAAGCGATCTTTATTTCGTTGAAGAATAAGAATAGAATTGTTTTTTTTTGTAATCGCTGTAACAAGTTTAATTATTGCGATGTATCTACACAAAGGGAGAGATACTACAAAGCGAGTTGACGTAAGATCATATCGGAACAAAACACAATGTTGGATTGCGATTCTCTTCCACTAAGGCTCGTAAATATATACACATTTAGGAGGCGTGAAAGATAGGTTTTCGAGAGCAGATTGTGATCTCAGGGAAATATGTTTTTCGTCTTGACACGAGCGTGGGACAATAAACAAAATTCTGAGTCCCCATGAGGAATCGAACCTCAGACCTTCGAATTCCACGCTCCGATGCACTACCACTGATCCTGTTGCAAATTATTTCTGCTACCACCACGTTTAGGGATCCAAATATAACATGGGATCAAAAGTCTCACATACTTTATTTAATCTAAACATAAAATTACTGTGCTGAGTCTTTGCAGTACGGAACGGATTTCATGCCGGGTGAAGAAGTTAACCATGCATTTTGATCACAAGGAACTGTTCACTGTACATGTAATCACTCTGTTCACACGGGCCTGACGGAGCAGGCTGAATAAATTGTCATATAATTTGGTTTTATCAACTGAGTTGATAACGTAAATTTGCCACCGAAAAGAGTTTGTAAAGTTGACGTTTTGAGCATTGGCCCCTCGTCAGAGCGACTGTCAGTGGTTTTACTAATTTCTCATATGCTGAATGCTTCTTTACTAAATTTAAACTGGCATGTCCATGCAACCACATCTCTATTTTACTAAAAAGTAGACGATCCTGGTCCTGACACCTTACCGGTTAAATTCTTGACCCTACCACCTAAAAATTCGGTCTCGCTATTGGAGTTCTAGTTTTTTAACGGCTTTGGTACGGTTAGCTTGGGTAAGTGTGAATACTAAACGCAGCCTCTCGTATCTTAAACCGGTAGGAAACTAGTCTGGTGTAAGCGCTCTCTTGAGCTTGGTTCAAACAAAGGCGCGAGAACAAGGGCGGAGTGTGTGCGTAGCCGTTTCGTTCGCGCTCTGGACGGTGAACTGGACCAAAGCCGTAAGAGCGTTCCTGTCCTTGCGTTCACATGGCAATAAATAACTCATCTCCCGTCGTCTTCAAAGCGTTAGGGGCCTAACTTCAAATGTTAACGCGTAGCTTCTACTAAGGTGGATTTCATCACCATGAGTGACACCAGACGTAAACGTGTCGCTTTAGAGGGTTGATACACATATAGGCAAAGGACTGATCGTGTGGCGTAAGTGAAGGATATACTTGCGAACCGTCTTCGTCCTGTAGTCCGACAGAAAACAGAAAGAGAAGATATAACGCGATCCACGTCGGAGGTGACAACTTTGTGAGACAATCGACCCAACACGAATAACTTCATCACGATGAAAAACCCCTACGTTTCTCACGATCTAATTTTGTGTTTCTCTCAGAACAGAACAGAACTCGAGAAACAATCTACAGCTTTCAATACCTGTCCATTAAGTTCAATAAAACATCATGAAATACCTGTGCGGAAACTTTCAGCACAACTGAGCCCACTTGAAGCTTTTTTGTGGTTGGGTCTTTGTGTACACTGCGAAAGGAGGCAAGGAGACAGAAAATTAATTGTGCACTAGCATTTGATTCCTCCTCACAATATCGCCCCTAAATTACACATTAAGGTCACGAGAACAATGGAAATGATCACCCATTAAATGAGCTCTTGATTGTTAAACAAATTCTCCTTGTCAGCTTTAGGAAATGTTTAGAGAACAGTATGGAGAATATACATACTAATGTTGAGATCTAAAGGGTTCAACAAACATACCTCAAAGGTGAAACAAAAATAATTACTATTTTACAAAAGAAAAAAAGCATTGTTATGAGATTTCAATCTGTTACTAGGGGTTTTCCAAACTTTTTAATCAAAGCCTGTCTGTTCAGATAACATCCTCTTCAAACTCCACGCATTACGCCGAACTTTTACTCACATGCATTAAAAATTGAACAATGGTTCACCATTACCTTAAAAGATCCTTGTAAATTATCTTAGTCGTTTCAAGGTAAGGATTTATGTCATCCTCATACTAAAAGAAAGGTCATAAGACACAAGGTTAATTGAATGTATGCAACAAAACCAGCATGTAAAAAAACATTCTACATGCAATAAAATTGCACTTCCCAGAGGGCTCACGGCCTGGCCTCCCTGTTTTTCGCCTTTATACATCTATTTTCAAAATCTAGTTATAAAGTGGTCATAAAGTAGAGGTCAACTTACTACAGAAAAAAATTGTAGATGACTTTGCGAAGTGAAAGGTGTAATTTGCTTTGAGTATTTTTATGGTTGTTTTTGTTCTCTTTATGCTCAACAGTGCTAGAAAACTTAAAAGATTAAAAAATAGAAGGAACTGGTTTGGCAAATGATGCTGTTGAGAGCCTACTCCAGACCCTCAGTTATAAAGCAGAACGTAGTAAATGAGCTGGAAACAGAAATAGAGGAGGAGCGAAGATAGAGAGGGTGGTTTGGGACCATAACATGACTGGACCCAAGCTTCTTCTTTT